ATATATATATATATATATATATATATATATATATATATATATATATATATATATATATATATATATATATATATATATATATATATATATATATATATATATATATATATATATATGTATATATGTATGTATGTATGTATGTATATATATATATATATATATATATATTACCGTGATCTAGGTGTATGTGCTGTATACATACATTGCCTAGCGTGCACTTATATCTATAGTGTATATTTATTTACCATTATATGTTGCATGAAAGTACAGAAAGTAATATAAAAGCTTTCGTGGCAAACACGACTACATATAAAAGTAAATAAAGAAATATTGTAATATGTAGAATTGTAGAGGTTGGCGGCGCCAATAAGCGCATCATCAAATATTTGGTCGTCGCACAGTTGTTTTATCACACAAAAAAACGTGACATCACACGCAATACATCGAAAGATAATAAAAGATGCTCTTGTTATTTAGTGTGAACTTAATTGTATATGTTCATACTTAAGTAGTGTAGGTATGCACACAGGTGTGTAGGTCTGTTCGGAGTTCGTTATGGTCTAGAAGATAAGGCATCTGCGGCAGTGTAAATAGCTTCATTTGTCTGTAGTTGAGAGTGGTGGTGGTGTCCGTTCTGAGCCTCGATCACACACAGTCGCCGATCAGCCGTATCGGCGATCCAGCTTACGATAGTATCCATAGGCCTACGCAGGTTATAACCCCTTCAGATACAAAGAGTGTACACCTATCGGCATACATACCTTGTATAGACACATTATTTACATATATTTTTTACTCATTCAGAATACACAACATACACAACACATTCCGTCTCTACTTGAGACAATCACGCACAGTAGCGTGAGTTTACGTATCCCGCCTCTCACCATGCTAGGCTTATACGTAACACGCCTGCAAGGTCTTCAGTCGGCCTCGAGGGGACTTTATGGAGGGCCTATTCGTGCTGGCAATACCGCTATATATGCGAATAGTGTGTCAAAGTACATGGCGTCCACGACCTCGGCGCATACACATTATAGAGCACTCAGCTTAGCACGAGCGTGTAGCAAGTGGAGAGCATCTGATGCGTCAGGGGTGCGTGTTCAAGGTCTTTTATCACGTACTTGTGTGTACACCCGCCCTTCTGAAGTACAACGCACTCTCTGTCCGAAGCCCCATGCAGACATGTCCACACACTCCCGCATGAACATACGCGCATATACAAGCACACGAGCGTGTGTGGAGAGGTCCAATCGAGGACCACCATTCATGGTGAGACTGCCTAGTAGTGGTCTCAAGGGCTTTAATGCACTCGGTAGGACAATTGCGCGGGAGTTTACGCATCACAGTGGGAAGGCAAGGTATATACAGTGGCCTGCATCTGATCTGTGGGAATGTTAAGGATGTGTTCACCTTCCTACGATCGTGTATGGGTCTATGCAGTGCTTGTGTATGTATTTGTATGTATTATGTAGTGGTTGTATATCACATGAAGGTGTGAGTGTACATCCATACCTGATATATTCCGATACACCCGTACTGATCTTAGTCTGAAAATAGTGGGAATCGTATGAATTTTATGTGGAAACGTGCTCGAATACCTCTTCGCGTGCGCTCGTTGGCTTGTGCATCTACATATGTGTTTCGCAAAGTGTATGTATATGAAATCACGCAATCCTATCCCTCGTTCAGGATCAAGCTATTGATATAGCATTCATGAAGCAGCTTTTCACGTAGCGGTGTTTGAAGCGGAAACGCCATCGTCAAAAAAAGTGAACTACATATTCACGTATACACACACATATACACACATACACACACATACATACGTATACACACACACATACATA